CCCCTACCGCAAGTTTGGGAAAATACCTGCTGCTGGCCCCAAGGAGCCACGGGATGAGGCTGGTCAAACCACGGGGGCTTGTTAGGTGGGATCTGATCGTGGGGTCCAGGGCCCCGGGGGCCGGCAGCGGCAGGATCCTGGACTCCCCCCGAGGCGTCGTACTCAGAGGAGCCAGGCATCTGGATGGGAGGCTTGCTGTCATCTAGAGCCAGGCAGGAAGGTGGTTAGCAAGGACAACAGTCAGCAGGAGGCGCCGCCCGAAAAGATGTTCAGCGACCACTGCGGGACCAACCCAGGCGGGGCCTTTACCTCTCAGCAAACCCCTGCTGTGTGACCCCACTGGAAAGCGATCGCCTACAGGACGGCAGTGAGAAGCAGGGGCACTGACCTCACACACGGCATACCCCTTCCTCTGAAAGCCTCCCGACACCTTAACTTCTGCCCCATCTCTCGTTTGCTCAAAAATTCCCACTACTGATTTTTATTAAATGCCCTTTCTACATCTTGTTGAAAGATCGTTCTTTCCCAGCTCATCTGTTATCTCATGAGACTTTTTACGTGTCGAACCATCCTTCCGCATTCCTGGGGCAAACCCTATTTGACCGTGATGTGCCTCTAAATACTTTGCTGGATTTCAGGTGGTAAGTAGTTCTGCATTTGTATTCAGAAGTGACGTTGCAGGACCTTTATCGTTCTTTCTCTTTGTCCGTCTGACGTAAAAGTTATTCTGGTCTCAAAAAATGATCTGGGCAGCTTTCCTCTCTCTGCGTTCTCTGGGGTAGTTCGTACGGGAAAGGAATCCTCTGATTTGTAAGGGTTTGGTCATATTCACCTGTGAAATCTCCGGGCCTAGTGTTTGGAAACAGGTTAGAATCTGGCCCTGGGACTGGGCCCGGTTTGGGGCCCACAGAACCGGAGTCCTTCTCTGCGGGAGAAGGCTGCCTTCCTGAAGCTGCCTCCCAGGGTGGGTGCTGAGGGAGCCCCGTACCAGGCTGGGTGGTTGGCGGGATGGCAGGGGTGGGTGTGGGGGCCGGAGGCGGGGCAGGCGGCGGCGGGGTGGCCTTGACTTCAGCTTCCATCTGTGGCATTTGGATCTGCTGCTGCTGCTGCTGCTGCTGCTGTTGCTGCTGCTGCTGGGCCAGGCTGTTGACGAACTCCTCGTGCTGCGTCTTGAGGGTCTGGATCTGCTGCTGGAAAGCTAGCTGCACCGGCTGGACCACCGAGGAGTACTCGTTGATGAGTGTCGCCTGGCAGAGAGAGAGGAGAGCAGCCTCAGGGCTCGCTGCCTCGGCCCAAACCTTCTGGAGCAAACCCTGGAAAGCCCCTGGAATCTGGGACAGTGCCTTGGGCAGTGAGGCCCAGGAGCCCGGAGCAGGCAGGCAGGTGACTGTCACATAATAGTCTCGACAAGCACAGAGCCTTTGAATCTAGCCAAAAACCGGTGACGAGAATGTTCGTTGCAGTTAAGTAAATCCCTAGTAAAGGGAACGAGCCTCGACAGCCATGTCCTTGACTGTCACACAACTGTTAAAAACTCAACACTGAGGGGCCCCTGGGTGGCTCAGTCAGTTAAGCAGCCAACTCTTGATTTCAGCTTAGGTCATGGTCTTAGAGTTTTGTGGGTTTGAGCCCTGTGTCGGGCTCTGCACTATGAGCCTGTGATTCTTGCTCTCCCTCTCTCTGCCCCTCTCCAGCTCGCACTCTGTCTCTCTCAAAATAAACTAAAAACAAAATAAAAAACCAAAAAACAAACAAACAACAAAAAACCCACAAACAAAATTCTAGGTTATGGTCCTTACTCGCTACACAGCTCTGAGCAAGTCACAGCCTCCCTGAACCTCAATTTCCTCATCTGTAAAATGTAACGGTAATGGGACCTACCTCCAAGGATTTGAGGGAGAACTCAGTGAAATAACACATGCAAAGAGACTAGGGCAGCACCATGAACATGAGCTGTTGTCACCAACTCAGCAGAAAAAAAGCAGTTAACGTCACCGACCGGGTGTTTTATTTCACGACAAAAAATAGGAAAGTGTTTTTAAAAGTACACCACGCACTTGCTCCTCCTGCCTCTCTGAGCATGAAAGATTCTCCCCTGCGGGGAGGTGGCATTCAAGACCATCAAGAGGACACAGCCAACACAGCTTCTGACACTCCCACCAGATCTCTGCAGAAAAACGCTACCTTTCGGCCCGAGGAAAGGGGTAGGAGCTCTGCTTTTTCTTCTAGCAGCTGTGGATGGGGCAGTGATGCCGGTGCCCCGGTAGAGGTGACCAAGGACACCCGGCTGGTCCTCCCCTCCCGGCCCCGCACCCGTCCTCAGAGAGGAGGCAGACATGCACATACGGGGCACGACCACGACGGCTAAGACTGCCTTGAGGCTTTCTGACACTTCCGTTGTGCAGAAGCCAGCCCGGAGGACCGGCGCCAACAGGCCAGAGACTGCCAACAGCAGGGCCTGAATGGGGCAGCCCGGTCGCCAGAGCACCAGGGAAAAGGCAGGCGGGCTCAGCAGGCAGGGCGGGAGCCCCCACAGGCTGCTGTTCAGAGCCCGGCCTCCCACTGCTCACCACCGCCCTGGAGACACGTGCAGGAGCCCAGTTTGGAAAACGCCACCCAGCCTCTGAAATCCCCACCCCACCCCACCAGCCGTTCCTGGCCCAGGCGGGGGCTGCGGTCCCCTCGACTTGTGGGAACGTGCTGGGGTCGCAGACGCCCCACCCTCCGGGCCCTGGGGGGCGGCGCGG